AACTAATTCAACACATTCTCTTTAGTAGTTAATTTTTAAAAATCATATGTTTAATCCAATCCGACCTGATAGTTGAAAGACCTCAGAAAACATCACTGTCAAGAACATTAAAAGTGTGCTTTTCAAATGAATGCACAATTTTCTCCCTTTTAAAAAACCTAACTATTATATGTAGTTAAAAACAACTTTAAACCAAGCAATAAATATTTGGGCATTTTCCTGGTCTGTGAAATGAAATGCTGTAGTGACTCTTGGAAAATTAAAACGGACTGGTTTTCTTCGTAAAATACAAGCATTTAATCTAAGTAATTATTTTTTTGCAAAACCAATTTGTAATCCGATATTTTATGTAATGTAGATTATGCTAAACATTCTTTTGAATAACATATACTTTTACATACAATAAGACTAATAGTAATAACAGCAGATGGTTGTTACTAACTTAACAGCAAAGATAACAAGCATCTAAATCTAACGTAAAGAAGCAAAGAGACTGAAGCATTAGTGCAGAACTTAAGAAACCCTAACCAATAACTTAAGACCACTATCTAAAACAACTTCTCAGCTTCTTCAGTATTAAATCAATCATGTTTTCATATGATAATTTTAATTCTAAGTAACTAGATAACTCAAACAAGTCATGGCATATATAGAAAGTAACTTTGAAGGTGTTCTATGGAGGTTACATTGGAGATTCTCACTGCATCATGACATTAAAAGATGGACTTTTTTGATGATACCAAAGTACATGTTATTCAAATAATGCCAGTTATGCTACGTTTATGATACACATAAAATATGTTATATAAGTCAACACTAACTTTTCTCCACTGCCCCAGGCAAACAAGGTTCCATCCTTACTAAAGGTATAGACTTTGCAATTTTTCCCAGATTCCCTGAAAATGACAAAAAAAAAAANGAAAAATCAGTTATAGTGTCTGACTTAGTTAACCACGAACCGAACAAAGACCACAATCAATAATACACTACATCTGATTCTCTTGCCCTGGAACAATATGTACCATTGGAGCCACAGGAAATAAATGCCAGAACCTGGTACAGAAAATATCTATTAAAATGGTAGACAGGACATGGGGACACACTAAAAAGATACAGAGCTGAATCCAATAGAAGGTTAAGCAAGGATATGAATGAAGTATATAAAATCATTAAGAATATTTGCCAAGGTGAAAATAGACTTATTCAACAAACTGCAAGTTAGTAGAATAAGGGATACCTCAAAAAATACATACAATGAAAAGAAGTATGGTATATCCCATTACGAAGTAAATTTCTACTGACTAATCAAATAACATAAACTAAAATATGGGTCAAAAACCAAACATTAAATACCCACAATAGGTTACACCAAAAGAAATAAGAAAATTTGAGAATATATCCTATCTTTCAGGCTAGGTTAAGACTGTTAACACTGTAGAAAGAACCAACATGATTATATTATTAACAATTGGAGAGTAGTAGTTTGTTGACTGAATAACTTAAAGAATTAAAAAACTAATTAATGTTTTTAATTAAAAAAGCTAACTCTGCCAGCTACTTATAGTCATAAAAGGTGAATCAACTAATTCAACACATTCTCTTTAGTAGTTAATTTTTAAAAATCATATGTTTAATCCAATC